AATTTTTTTTTTTTTCTTTCAGTTATAACTTGAATAAATAAAAATTAAAACGGGAAAATCATTTTTTAATTTGTCTTCTGCTTTCTTTTTTACGATGATCTTTCTTGTATAATTTTGTGTAACAAAAATGACGATTATTATAATCATAATTATGATGATTCTGATGATGATGACGCTGATAATGGTGGTAGTGATGATGGTGGTGGTGATGATGCTGCCGCTGATGATGATGATTCTGATGATGACAATGATTCTGATGATGATGATGAGATGATGAAGACGATGACTATGGTGATGATGGTAATGATGAAGACGATGACTATGTTGATGATGACGATGACGTTGATGATGATGATGATTCTGATGCTGATTCTGATGATGATGCTGATAATGGTGGTGGTGATGATGATGATGATGATAACGATGAAGATGATGATAACGATGAAGATGATGACGATGATAGAAAAAACTAAAAAATAAAACGTCTCAAATTCGATCGATTTATCGAATGAAATTTTTTTTTATTTATATATAACGACCGAAGGATCAGCCAATGAAAAAATTTGAATTTTTTTTTTCGACTTTTCCTCTTTTAAATTCGAATTCTGATTGGTTAATCATTATTGTGATTGTCATAACCGGAAATTTATTTCGAAAAGGAAACATTACTTAAATTCTTCACTTTTTTTTTTTTATTTTATTACAATTGAAAATTTGAATTTTTTAAAAATCATGTTAAATGGTAACTTTTTTCTGGTTTTGATGTTCTGAATTGTTTTTTTTTTTTTTTTTTTTAAATTCAAGATAAAATTAGAAAATAATTTAACTAGAACTAATTAGAAGAGGCTGTGGAAATAATAAATTTTGTTAAAAACACGCCACGAAAACGGAAAATTTTACGCTTTGGTTTGAGTAAACAAAATTAAATTTTAAGTTTTTACCGTAGTTTTAAGTTTTTTTTTTCTTTCTTTTTTTTTTTATTAAATTAATTGCCGTTCTTTTTTTTCTAAAAAAAATTAACCTTAATAAAACGTTTTTTTTTTTCAATTTCCGGTTTTGTTTTTTAAATAACCTCAAAATTATTTTTTTTTAATAGTTATCTTCATGTTTTTTTTTTTAAATTTATTATTATTACTACTTTTATTTCGGTTACACGTGAATATTAATCATTATTATTATTTAAATAACAAACTTTTGTATATTTTAGCAGAAGACAAACGACGACAAGTGGGAAAAAAATTTTTTTTTAAACCAAAACAATCAAATTATCACGCGGGAAATTTTAAAGTAAAAAAAAAAAAATTCATCTTACATTATTTCCCCCCACGTTAAAACCCATTTAAAACACATGATAAAATTTATTTAAGAATTAATATAAAAAGAATAAAACGTTTTCAGTTATTCTTTTTTTAAATTGAAAAATACGTTATAAAATTGATTTTTAAACAATATTTGTTTAAATAAAAAAAAACTTTTGTTAAAAAAAAATAACAATTGAAAATATTGTTTCGGTCGATTTTTTATTGTTACTATTATTATTATTATTATTAAAAAAGAAAAAAGAAAAAAAGGAAAAACTCACGATTTAAAAACTTTGATTTTAAGTTTTTCTTTTTTTTTTTGTGCTGGAGTCAGCCTTGTTGTTTTTTTTTTTTTTTGTTTTGTTATTCTTACGTGGGAAGAGAAAATAAAATTTAAATCAAAAGTTTTTCTTTTTTCTTCTTTTCTTTTTTCTTTTTTTTTTGTTTTTTTCAAAAATGCAATAAAAAAAACAATCGATTGTTATTTAATGTGCCGCTAACGTTATACGAAAGTATAAAAAAAAAAAAATTTTTCCTTCCTTCTTTTCGTTTCGCCCTGTTTGTTTCTTTTGTTTTTGTTTCGTATAAAAAAATAATAATAATAATAACAAAAATTTTTTTATTATTTTCAAAAGAAAAGCTTTCAGTGATTCGAAAGCTTTCAACCGTGGAAAAAGAATCCATTGAATTTTCATGTCCTCGTTTTTTTTTTTCCTGCTTTTGCTCACCCGTTTCTCTCTCTCTCTCTGTTTTATTTTATTTGTTTTTTTTTTTTTTATTCTGCTTTTTTTCTTTCTTCCATCTGTCCTCCCTTCCTTCCCTTCCCCCTTCCCTTTTTCCTTCTCTCTATCCCTTAAACGACCAATACTTTTTTTTTATTGTTAAATTTTATTATAGAAAAAAAAAAAAACAGCGTCAGGTAAATAAAAAAAATTCTTATAATATTATTATTATTATTATTTTTATTTCCATCGGCAACCTTTCGTACATACGAACCTTTCTATCTATTTAATGCGTACCTTAAAGCGTTAATAATAATA